TAACAATTCTAAACAGAAATACATCTAAAAACAGAACATGAAGCAAAAACTAAAAGAATTAAAAGAAGAAATAAACAATAAAACAACACTGAGCTATTTCAACACCCACTTTCAATAATAAACAGAACAACTAGACAGAAGATCAACAAAGAAAAAGAGGACTTGAGAAATACTAAATGCCAACTAGACCTAACAGACATTTATAGAATCCTCCATCCAACAACAGCAGAATACATATTTTCTCAAGTACTCATGAAACATTCTCCAGGATAGACAATGTTAGACTTTAAAACAAATATCAATAAATTTAAGGGGACTGAAATTATACAAAGTATGTTCTCTGACCACCTTACAATAAAATTAGAAATCAATAACAGAAATTTCCAAAATTCACAAATATGTGAAAATTCAACAACACACTCCTAAATAACCATTAAGTCAAATAAGAAATCACATAGGAAATTAGAAATACATTGAGATACAGGAAAACAAACACACAACATAGCAAAACATGGGAAGCAGTTGAAGCAGTGCTCAGTGGGACTTTATAGCTGTAAACTCATCTTTAAAATGAAGAAAAATCTCAAATTTATAACCTGACCATCCACCTTAAAAAATTAGAAGAAAAAAAGAGCAAACTAAACCCAAAGTGTGCAGAAGGAAATAATAAGCATGAGAGCAGAAATAAAATAGTGAATAGATAAAAATCAGTGAAACCAAAACTTGGTCCTTTGAAAAGATCAACAAAATTTCCAAACCTTTATCTAAACTGACCCCAAAGATGGGGAAGATTGCTATGGTCTGAATGTGTTTCCCTCAAATTCCCACATTGAAATCCTAACCCCAAAAGGTGATAGTATTAGGAGGTGGGGCCTTTGGGAGGTGATTAGGTCATGAGTGTGAAGCCCTCATGAATGGGATTAGTGTTCTTATAAAAGAGATCCCACAGAGCTCTCTATCCCCTTCCACCATGTGATGACCTATCAAGAAGGCAAGAGTTATGAACGAGGAGGAGGGCTCTCACCAGAATGCGAGCATGCTACTAGCACCTTGATCTTGGAATTCCCAACCTCCAGAACTGTGAGAAATAAATTTCTGTTGTTTATAAGCTACCCAGTCTGTGGTATTTTGCATTCCAAAAGATCTAAGACAGTGCATGGGAGACGGTTTGGATGCCAGCGAGGGGCAGCAAGATAGCCAGGGAGGCAGGAATGAAAGGGGGGACATTACTATCAACCTTATAGAAATAAAAAAGATTATAAGAGAATACTATAAACATTTTTTTTTGCCAGCAAATTAGATAATCTGGATGAAATGGACAAATTCCTAGAAAGATAAAAACTACTAAAACTGACTAAAGAAGACAGAAAATCTAAAGAGACCTAAAACAACTAAGGTGTTTGAATTAGTAATCAAAACTTCCCACAAATAAAAATCCAGAACCAGATGGCTTCACTGATGAATTCTACCAAATTTTAAAGAAGAATTAACCCAATCCTTCACGAACTCATCCCATCGCATTCTATGAGCCAGTATTACCCAGATATCAAAACCAGACAAAGACATCAGAGAAAAAAAAAAAAACGTACAGCTATACCCCTTATGAATATGGACACAAAAAGTCCTCAACAAAACACTGGCAAGCCAAATCCAGCAACATATAATAAGGATTATACATACATCTGCAAATCAAATCCAACAAGATAACAATCAGTTTACAAGCTCTGGATATTCACCTCCCATTGATTCTTCACAACCAAGGAAAATCAGGCTTATATCCCTGCCACTCCATTAAAATGTGTTAGAAAAAGTTACTAATAACTTTCTAATAGCAGTACCTGTTAGCTCTGTAAGTCTTTTTGAAGCTATTCTCTTCCTGAAACTGTCTTCCCTTTATTTTGAAACACCTCTAAGTCAGATTTCCTCTTCTGCTAGCCACAAAAAAATTAACAGAAAAGTCTGAGTTCTAATCCTAACTTTGCAGGTAATTCATTATGATAATGCTAGCTATTAACTATTGAACTTTTATTATATATAAGGACCACACTGAGTATTTTATAAAATGTTATTTCATTTAATCCTTTAAACAACTCTAGGATAGTTTTCCATCTGTAAAACAGGAATAAATAAGAAGCAGAGAGGTTAAATGAGATGCCAAAGGCATATCCAATATTTGAATGCAGGTCTGTTTAACTTCAAACTCTGGATCTTAATTTTATTTTGTCCCACTGTAACATGAAGCAAATCATTTACCTCTCTGATATTTGGTTTCTTCATCTATAGGAAATTACATATATCATCTCTGAAGTCTCATATACCTCAAATATTATAATGAAATTAAGAACTTTATTAAAAACTTTTCTCAAATTAGAGAAAGAACACTAAAACATGGAAAAAGGTCCAAAGGCACAATGCTCACAAAGAGCTTTAAGATACCACCTGTGATACCACTGTTTTCCTGCTCTGATAGTTTGCCTAGAATTTAGAAAAGGCAACAGAGTTCTATACACTCATTAAAAAATCTCCTAGCAGCCTCTGAAAAAGTGCTGTGTTCTGTCCATGACAGACATAGCAATTATACGTAAAGCTACGCATGGTATAAACTCAATTAAGGGTCATAATATACAAAGATCCTAAAAGTCAATCTGCATATACAAATGTTAATTTGATCTAATTATATAAATAAAAATATGTACCTTTCATTATGCTCTTGATAAACAAGTCTGGACTTCTCCAGCAGATATTTTTCAACATAGGCACTAGAAGAAAAATAAAATTGGTTGATATAAATAACAAAGCTTAATTTAAAATAGACATTTTTTCAGAGAAGATACAAAAGTATAAAGAATACTATTATTCAGATTGTTTTAGTACATTTACCATTAAAATTGTGTTATGGACACTATTAGTGTTATCCATGTTAAATTCATAAACTCATTAAGTCTTTTCTTTTTTTCAATAAAGCAAAGTCAAGTCAGAAGTTCAAAACACAGCACACAAGACCCTCCCATGACATAAACTTTACTTTCTTTCCAGGTTCATATACCACTACCCATTCTTTCAGACATTATACTTTGGCCAGACTTTACTAAATAAGGCTCAAAGATATACTTTCTTTACATATTCATGCTATTACCACATGCTGGAATCAATTTATTTAATATTTGCAGATTTACTCAATAAGTATTCATCAATTGGGCACTGTGATAAACATCACTCAAATATGTAAACAAGAGATACACTACCTGTTCTCAAGTGGCTTACAAACTAGTAGAGAAAATAGGTAAACTAGCAGCTATCACACTGAGTTGATAAAGTTTATTATAGAGCAATGACCAGGATATTACGGCTGTACCAAGAGAGACACATAAGATTCAATCCAAGAAGGAAAAAGCATGTAAGAAAGAATTCTCATGAAGGGTGAGTACATAGCACATAGTAAATATTCATTAAATATATCCAGTGAGTGACTGAGTAAATGACTCTGAAATCTGAAAGACTGACCAGAAGAAGGCAAAGAGAACTGCCTTTATGTAAAGGCATAAAAGAAAGGGGGGACTCATCAACCTCAGGGAAGACAATTAGTTAACATGGCTAGAGAATGAGATAGGCAAATGGCCTAGATCAAGAAGGACCAATATACTATAGGCCAGAAGAATGGAATTTATCCTGAAAGTAATGAGGAACTGAAACATGAATTGTACTTCTAATATATTATTCTCTTTTTAGCCTGTACTTTTCAAGTCTTCAATATCTCTTACCTAAATTGGAGCAATCAGTTAAGATCTCACTGGAAAAAGGGGTTCTATAGTCTGAAAATTAAAAGCGTTAGACTACTGAATCCAAATTACTTAGCACAAATTTCTCTGGGGTCAAAATCTTGACTCTTGAGCTTTTATTTCCCTCAGTTCCCTCCCACTGCATGCTCTCTATTTCAGTCACTCCCAAATACAGGCTATTCCTTCAAGCATGCCATTCACTTCTGACTGTATTGTTTTTTTTTTTTTTTTATTAAATTTTTTGTTTATTGCAGTAACATTGGTTTATAACATTGTAAAAATTTCAGGTGTACATCATTGTACTTCTATTTCTGCATAGATTACATCATGTTCACCACTGACTGTATTGTTCACGCTCTTCCTTCCACTTCTAATTCCCTAGTCTATTCCCAGTCTCTGTCCAGTAGATTCCATTCATTCATTAAAATGAAGCTCAAATGTGCCTTCTTGGCAAATGCATTGCCACTACCACCACTAGTAATTAAAACTGATCACTTCTGAATTACCATTATCATCTCTAGTCTAAACTAGTGAAACAGGATCTTATCTGTCTAAAACGGGAGAAAGGAAACTAACATAAACTAGTGTGTTAAATTCTTATACCCACCCTGCACACAAATATTACTGCCTCTAGTTTACAAGTGGAAAAATTGATATTCAAAGACATTAAGATCATACAGCTAGTGGGGCCGGCCCCGTGGCTCAGCGGTTAAGTGCGCACGCTCTGCTACTGGCAGCCCGGGGTTCGGATCCCGGGCATGCACCGATGCACCACTTCTCTGGCCATGCTGAGGCCGTGTCCCACATATAGCAACTAGAAGGATGCGCAACTATGACATACAACTATCTACTGGGGCTTTAGGGAAGAAAAGGAGGAAGAATGGCAATAGATGTTATCTCAGAGCCAGTCTTCCTCAGCAAAAAGACGAGGATTAGCACGGATGTTAGCTCAGGGCTGATCTTCCTCACAAAAAAACAAAACAAAAAACAAAAACTAAATAGATCATACAGCTAGTAAACAGCAGAACCATGACTTGAACCCAGGTCTATTTTAACTACAAAGGCTCTCTCTTTCAACTATACCAACATACTCCTGGACATCTCTCTTTCCTCCCCTCCAATCCATGAGCTATACTGCTACAAGAATATCTATCTATAAAATAAGATCTATTCATGTTGTTCCTCTACTTTCACTTGCTCCCCAAACTAAACTGTATGTAGGAGTGAACTGATGTTATGCCCATCTGGAATTGTTTTTTAAAATACATCAGCATAGAAAAAGAAAAGGGAGATAGATTAAGCAAATATGGCAAAATCTGAAAACTACTGAATCTGAGTGGGAGTTTCGTATACTATTCTCTTTACTTTTGTAGGCGTTTGGCATTTTTCATAAAAATTTTTAAATCTGCTTCCCAGTGTCAAGAGGATAAATTATAAACATTACAGCTTTAGTCACAATCTGAAACCAACTGACTACTATGCCCATAATCCTCAGCCACTAAATTTACCTTCTCAAGTACACCAAGCTCTTGTCATGATTCCATTCATTTGCTAATGCCAGTTCCTCAGTCAATAATGTGATTTCCCACTTTTTCTGACCGGCAAATTTTCAAGACCAAAGATAAAAATCACCTTTTTTTCTGTAGTCCTTCAGATACATACTTCAATCATTGCACTTATCTCATTTACTGTAATCATCTTATATATGTCTTCCCAAAGAGACTATGAGAACTTTAATGGCAGAGAACATTACATCTTTTCATATCCTCAACATTTAGCACAGTGCCTGGTACTCAAAATGAACTCCAAAAATGTTTGCTTAATAAATGATAAAATGAAAGATAAAAATATTCAATATATATTTGTTGAAAATGTTAAGTTAAAAGTGTTCAATATGTATTTGTTGACTTACTAATCAAGATGAAGATTTCTGCTCATCATTGATGCAAGGGAAAGTTTAACATTTTTAGGTAGTCACTTAACATATAAGAGCCTAATTTAAATTCATAAAGTGGGAAAATAAACATCTGCCATTCCTAACTCATGAAATTGTCTAAAGAATCAATGAATATATATATTGATATTTTGTAACTTACAAAGCAATATACACAATTTTATCTATTATCAACTTCTCCTACCACACAATCATAAATACTAGGAAAGAGTAGCCTGACAACTTGACTGCATCCCACTTTTATAAGTAAAAGTTCCAACTGTACCTTTGGAAACTGAGGATTCCTCAAATCAGGAAAGAAATGAACTATGAAACTTGGCATTAAAGAAGGATTTATCCTTCTTGTTTTTATTTTTGTTTTTTTGGGGAAAAGAATGCACTTAGTTTTGGTCAAAATTTAAAATTTACATGCAGAAGTAAACTGATAAGACTTAAGCATAATCAAAATAGCATAAAAAAAGAAAAATACAGATCAATCTCACTTCTTAATATGGATGCAAAAATCATGAATAAAAACTAGCAAACAAAACATAACAGCCAATTTATATATGTTTGTGTATAAATATGTCTGTGTATGTATGTATATATGTATGAATGTGTATGTCTTTGTACTGACCAAGTGGAATTCTTTTCCCAGGAATGCAAAATGATTCAATTTTAGGAAAATAATGATATGAATAGATCTCAGAATGAAAATCACGCTAATCTCCACAGATACCAAAAAAGCCTTTGATAAAATCCAATAGCCATAACTAACAAAAACACTCAAAGAAAATTAAAATCGATGCTTAATTCATTAACATGAAAAAAATGTCCTAAAGCCAGTATTTGACCTAGTGGAGAAAAGTAAAGGCATTCAAATAAAGTCTGAAACAATTATTATCATAGTATAGGAGGTATGAAACCAGACAAGACAGAAAATAATCAGAGGCAGAGATAGAAGAACAGAAAAAAGAATAAAAGTATTTATTTTTGCGAATATGGTGATATATCTAGAAAAGGTAAAAGGAACAACAGTAAAACTAATAAAGACAATAAAATAATTCAGTAAGATATAAAATTAATATAAAAACCAACAGTCTTCATATATACAAACAATATGCAATCTGAAGATATAATGCAAAGAAAAATCACACTTATAATAACAATAAAATGTGAAAATAAAATACTTAGGAATAAACTCAACAAGAAATACAAAAACTTAAAAACATTTCTACAAAGCACAAAGATGTCAATTATACTCAAATTATATATATATTTAACATCAGTCCCATAAAATAAAGCCATGAAAGACGCAGAAGAACCTTCGATACATATTGCTATGGGTAAGAATCCAATCTATTAAGGCTATATACTACCTGATTCCAACTATATTACATTCTGGAAAAGGCAAAACTCTGGAGACAGTAAAATGATCAGTGGTTGCCAAAGGTTACTGGGTGGGAAGTGATGAACAGGTGAAGCACAGAGGATTTTTAGGGCAGTGAAACTATTCCATATGATACTTGTAATGGTAAATACACGTCTTTATACATTTGTCAAAGCCCACAGAATGTACAACACAAATGGAACACACTAACCCAAGATGTTATTAATAGGGGAAACCGGAAGATAGGATGAAGAGGTATGTGGGAACTCTCTGTACTTTCTACTCATTTTTGCCATGAACCTAAAGCTGCTCTAAAAATAAAGTCTATTTATTAAAAAAAAAAAGTTATAAAGAATATTGCTGGCACAACCAGAGGACTCTGATCATAGTCTGTGTAATAAGAAATACAGTAACAAAATTAAATTTCTTGATAATAATTGTATTATGTAGGAATATATGATTGTGGTTGCTTTAGGAAATACAGTAATTAGGGAGTCAAGTTATATGCACAACTTACTCAAAAACAATTTAAGAAAATGAACATATGCATAATATAAAGAGATATAGCAAATGCAGTAAATTGTTAGCACTTAATAAATCTAAGTAAAGAATGTATGAGTGTTACACTATTATTAGCATTTTTCTCAGGTTTGAACTTTTCCAAGAGGAAAAAATGTAGTGCAGACACTAACGTCACTATTCTCATTAAAGAGCAAATGATGAATCTATGGTTATGAAGGAGCAATGGTGAAAATATAAACACGCTCCAAAGCCTGCTACTGCTACTTACCCAAGTACAGTGCCTGTTTCTTGGTAATTTACTTGAATAAACTTTCCAAAACGACTTGAATTGTTATTATGAGCTGTCTTTGCATTTCCAAAGGCCTGTCAAAATAAACAGTTCTCATTAATTTCATTTAAAAAAAAAAAATGGAAAATCCGGCTTAGGTCAGCTCAAAGAGACAAAATGCTAAAGAGATAGTAGAAAAGCAATTCACTTACACTTTCAGACTCTGTAGTACAGGTAAAGTAAAAGAAAGCAAGTAATAAATGAAATAAAACCAAGTATGTAGTATTTTATGCTATTCAGTAAAATAAATCAATTTTAAACTTAATGCTTATTAAAATTCAGACTTCACTTTCATATTCCAGAGCCAGCAAATTTTCTTAATAATTTATATATATATAAATCTTGCTAAACTGAAATAATAAGGGGCTAGGAAAAAAATAATTACATCAAAATAATTACAATTTTAGAATACTATAAATGAAATGAACTTTCATTACATAATGTACACTTTATGAACTTACTTAAAACAAAGCTACCGTACTAATTTTAAAAGAATAAAAAACATATAAACTTCCTAAATTGTTACCTAAAGTACACACCATAAAATGGAATACTACACAGCAATAAAGGTAAACTACAGACATCAACATTGATGAATACCAAACATTATGCCAAGTGGAAGAAACCAGACACAAGAGTACATATTGGAATACAAAATTCTAGAAAAGGCAAAAAAAAGAGTAACAGGAAGCATATTAGTTTTCTGGGAATGGAGGTGGGGTTGAGAAATGTCTACAAACGGGCACAAGGAGTAATGAAAATATTCTATAGCTTGATTGTATACATAGGTGTATACATTTCTCAAAAATCATTGAAGTGTACATTTTAAATGACTATTTTATGGTAAGTTACTTCTCAATAAAATTGATTAAAAATGAAATTTAGGGCCACCCCGGTGGCATAGTGCTTAAGTTCACATGCTCCACTTTGGCAGCCCAGAGTTCACAGGTTCAGATCCTGGGTGCGGACATACGCACCACTTACCAAGGCATGCTGTGGCAGGCATCCCATATAACATGGAAGAAGATGGGCAAAGATGTTAACTCAGGGCCAATCTTCCTCAGCAAAAAGAGGAAGATTGGCAACAGATGTTAGCTCAAGGTGAATCTTCCACAGGAAAAAAAAAAAAGAGTAACAGCTGATTTCTCAACAGAAACCCAGGAAGGATAGAAGATGGGGGGATTATATATTCGAGCACTGAAAAAAAAGCCTGTCAACCAAGAATTCTATGTCCAGTAGAACTATCCTTCAAAATTAAAGGAGAAATTAAAACATTCAGATAAACAAAAACTGAGAGATTTCATCAATAGCAGAGGAGCTTTACAAAAAATACTAAAAGAAGTAATTCAAGCTGAAATGAAAGGACTAGACAATAAAGAAAATCCACATGATGAAATAAAGACCACAAATAAAGGTAAATATAAATGTAAACACAAAACAAAGTACAAATATTTTTTGTTTGTAACTCTTTTTTCCTCCTATCTGATTTGAAAGACAATTCCATAAAACAATAAATACAAATCTGTGTCTATGGGTATACAATGTAATATAAACATGTAATGTATATGAAAATAAAAGCACAAAGGAGGAGGAAAAAGACAGAGCTACACAGAGAAAAGTTTTTGCGTATTACTGAAGTTAAGTTGGTAGTAATCCAAATTAGATTCTTATGTTAATTGGAATGTCCGTGAACACCACTAAGAAAATAACAACAAAAAGAGAGATAACAAAATCTAAATGGTATGCTAGAAAACATCTATTTAACGTAACAGAAGGTAATGATGGGAGAATACAAGAACATAAGACAAAAAAAAAAAAAACGGGAGACATAAATCCTACATTATTAGTAATTACATTAAATGTAAATGGATTAAACACTGCAGACAAATGGCAGAATGAATTAAAAAGAAGTGATCAAACTACATGCTTTTCCCAACAGACATATTTCAGATTTAAAGATACAAATAGGTTCAAAGTAAAAGGATGGCAAAATATATCATGCTAAAATATATCATAACTAAAAAAGAGCTGGAGTGGCTATATTAATGTCAGACAAAA